AGTGACAATTAGGAAAACATTGGTAATTCAGGACAAAATGCTTCAGTGCTCTGGAATTTGAATGAACCAAGAGCTTTGAATGAAATCTGAAGAAGATTTTTACTTTATATAAAAAATTCAGCCAACATTTCTCAGGTAGTTTTCTACAGTTTTGATTTGAGCAAAGAACCAAAGTGAAGACAAGAATCCAAAAAGTTGATTGAAGGAGATGTTAAACTTTGCTCTGTGCTGTTATTATAATACAGGACTTTGTGGTTCCTACAACAACAAAGCAGAAGATGATTTCATGTCAAGTCAGAATATACTGGAGAAGACATCTCAGGCATTTGCTAGCTCTTGGGAAATGATGTCCTGTCCGAAAGGAAACCCCTCTTCGTGTATTAGCATAGAGACAGGTAATATTAATTGAGCATCAAACTCTGCAATTACATATTTGGTGTTAAGAATTACATACCTATTCTGATAATAATATAAGCATACCAGATAATCCTGGCTTTAGCTAGGATTTGGTATACTGGCCCAATTTTAGAAGCAAACAGCACTGAAGTAGTCTGAGTGTATTCCTGGAGATCTCATCTTTCACTGCTGTGATCTTTTTCTATACCTACTCTTTCCTGCCTCATATAGTTTTCTCCATAGAATATGCTTACAGGAAATTTTAGAAATGATCTAGTTTATAATTGTCCCTCTTCTAAAATGGTGAAAATAATCATTGATTAAAGTAGTAAGACTCACTCAAACTGCTGTACCATTGCTGGCAGAGCTGTGCCAGGTGTTCTAACCATTTCTGTCACATATATCAGTCATACGAGATGTAAACGTGGATCCTAATCAAACTTGACACTTGCAGGACTTATGTTATGTTTCAGCTTACCAAAAGTCTTTCATAAATATCATTTCAATTTATTTCCATATAAACTCATGGAGGTCACAGAGAGGGTTATTGTCCCTAATAATGTATGTTGATTCTGGAACTCAGAGAGTATATACTAAATCAGGGTTACACGTGAAGCTGCAATTCAAGTATTTCAAAGCCAAGCTGGGTTCTGATTACTTCCCTAGGTTCTTGATTCTCATGTATGTTTTATGCTGTTTCTTTCATAAACAAGGATTGCAGTGGAAACTAAGTTAAAATATATAAAGACATGTTAATTAGTCATTTCTAAATTAATCCACATATTTGAAACTATCTGATCAGTTTATAATATTTTCAATTGCTAAATCAATCACATTTGAAAATATCATCTGTTCATTTTGACCTGAACAATGAGTTGGTAGAAGCATTCATGCAAACATTGTAATACATATTTCAGGGTTTCGATGGTCATGTTCTTTAGGGGGGTGTTGCAATGAAAGTCATTACAATGAGGATAGACTAAAAGAGTGTATATCTCATCAGAAACCAAGCAAATTTATGCTGGGCAGACTAAGCATCATTGCTTTATATGTATAAATTAATTAAATTTAACCATCACTGTTTATATTTGAATTAATAACAAAATGTAGATAATTAAACTGAACTGTAATAAGGTATCAGTAATATTTGCATGAAAAGTATGGTGATTTCTGGTTTCCAGTTTGTTAAAATTTTAGAAGTAATTGGTTTCAATGTCTTTTTTCAATAGATCCTATTTCCTTTATTGCTGAAAATCATGAAGCAAACCATTTATTATCAGATGCTATTTTTGTGAATTTTCTTTGTTGTTAATTTGGTATGAAGTACTTATTTACAACTCAGTAACTATCAATTAAGAATTTTTCAAAAAAAAGTAAAGAGTGCACTTCAATTAGTAATACTGGTCGTCCTAAATGTGTGACTTTCAAAAAAACTGATGCGATATTCTCAGATATATCAGTGTGACAGGTTGGAGGGAAGGGGGAAGGGTTTTGCGATTGGTTCATTCATTTCTTGCCACAATTTAGTCATTAATACATATTTTAAAGTTAAGAAGCATCTAAAGACTTAGACTAGTCCTATTCCCACTTTTTATATTAGAAAGTGCATTTCAGAGGAAGGTTAAATGAATGAATAAAAAAATAAAATTAATAAAGATTTTACCTTTTAGTACATTTCTAATCATTCCATGTTAGTTTTATATAGAATGACAATAATGTAGGTTATAGCAAAACACTTTAAAAACACAACTGTTTTAATAAAGAAGCACATAAAATTTATATCTTTTCTTTCAGTTAAAGAAATTATGGGCTTGGTGTGGTGGGGCACACCTGTAAACCCAGCTATGTGGGAAGTGTAGGTAGGAAGATTAAGAAAAGCATGAGACCCTATTTGAAAAATAACAAAAGCAAAAAAAGGGGTGGGAGCATGGCTCAAGTAGTAGTGTGCTTGCCTAGCAAGTTCAAAGTCTTTAGTTCAAACTCCAGCATTACCAAAATCAAAGCAAACCAAGCAACCAAACAAAAAACCCCAAGAAATTATGATGGTATTGGTACTGATTCTGAACAATTCATTTTTTTCCAGAAAAGTTTGCTGAAAATAACTGTGGAATTCTTCTTGATTCAAGTGGGCCTTTTGCTTCTTGTCACTCAATTGTGAACCCCAAATTCTATCATGAGGTGGGTGAGGGGCTAGCATTAACAGCCTCTTTTGAGAAATAGTTTGCTGGCATTGACAAAAGCAAGTAGAGCATATACTTTTTCAAATAACAGCTTCTGTCAATGGACTAAGATATACGCTTAAATTTAACATGATTCTATTAATTTATTCAAGTATTATGTATATTAACTTAAAACAAAGTGCCACTGCAAAGTAACCTCAGCAAACAAAATCTTGATTGCATTTTTTCTTTCTGTCTGTTCTAAGTTCTTTGATAAGTGGGTTAAAATTAATTTTCTGGTTTGAATTTTAAAATAATAGTTCTAAGTGTTTCAAAGTCAAAATGTTTCCAGGGTAGAGGAGTAGTTATGAAGTGAATTGTTACACCTGGTTTGCCTGTTCTTCTGAATAATTTTAGAAAGCAATATAAATTTGTTTCTTATTTTAAAGGAATGCAAAAAATACACTTGCTCTTGTGAAAAGAGTCAAGAATGCCTGTGTACGATTTTAGACAACTATGTCAAAGCATGTGCTGAGAAAGAAACATACATGATGGGATGGAGGACTGGACTGTGTGGTGAGTAGAACAGTGGCTTCTGAACACTCTCCTTCCTTTTCAGTTTCACTCAGTCTTGTGTGAATGTGTGTGTGAGTGCGGCTGAGTGTGTATGTGTGAATGTGGCTGAGTGTGAATATATCAGTGTGGTTTCAGCACATGCATTTCCAAGTTTCTTCCAAAGAGTTCCAGAAGTTTTTTTCTGTTTTTAGAAATATTATTGAGTAATTCTTGAATTTTGATTTTTTGATTTATCTTTCTTTAATATATTTACATACAAATAATAACCAAACTGTATTTATATGTACACATACATTTTTGTTTAACTGTTATATGCTGAAATTTACATAATGTTCTGACTGTTAATGTATTTTTAAATGATATTCTAATGTTAATTATTTTGAAAAAAACTATAAATAAGGGGTTAAACTATCATATTTTTAAGACCCTGCTTTGTTTTACAATATTTATTGTACTCTTTGACTATGACTTCAGAAAAATACTTGATTTACCTAAAGAAAAGAAAAGAACAAGAGAAGACCCCACTTATAGAAACATATTTCTTGTAGGTCATATGTAACACCTCATAGCTCATATCCAGTTAATCAGTCGAATTCACTCTACAAGATCTCTCCACATTTTTCCATCTCTTTTGCTATCAACCTCGTTCGAGAAACCACCATTCTAGGGTGATTGTAATGACCTCCTTCAACATCTACCCTTGGCTTCCTCTAATCCACGGTCTGTAAAGAAACCAGGCTATTCTTTAAAGTAAAGCCCAATAATGCTAACTTGTTATGTGATATTCCAGTTGAAAACAAGTCAATGGGTTCTATAGCTCTAAGACTAAAGAGCACCCTCTAAGTTCTGTCCTTCTATGTGCTCTTTGAAAGAATCTTCTTCTTTCCTGACTCAGGCTATTCTTAGAGAGAATTACCTCTCTCTGTGCTGCCCTCTTGCTGTTCATCTACTTACTCTCCTCTATAAAAGGAGATCTCAGCTGAATACACTTAGTGCTGCCATCTTGCCTCTTCACAGCACCTGCCACAAACACCCTTCAACAGGACCGTGCTGCGCGGGAGCAGTGCAGCACCTATTGTTTCAGGAACTTTATCCCCAGAAGAGTCCTTAAATATACAGTAGGAACTCAATATTGTCTGGAGAAACAAAAGGGGAGGGGGAGGAAAACCCTATTAACAAGCATTCTTTTCTTATTTTGTAATCTCAAGTATGAAAAATCCACAATAATAGCTATAAACATCGAGTTGAAGTAAAATTGCTCATTTTCCTGGTTGTATAGATGCTCATTATTTTTCTTTTTTTGGTCTCTGCACCTTCAGAACAATCTTGTCCAAGTGGCCTGGTTTTCAAGTACAATGTAAAAGCCTGCAATCATTCTTGCCGATCATTGTCGGAGAGAGATAGAAGCTGTGATTTAGAAGATGTTGCGATTGATGGATGCACTTGCCCCAGTGGAATGTACCAGAATAATGAAGGAAACTGTGTTCAGAAATCTCAGTGTGACTGCTATGTAAACGATGAGGTCGTGCAGCCAGGCAAACTCATCAATATTGATGACAATAAGTGGTATGGAATTATGTGTGTATACATACTCATTATGATGCTGAAAGCAAGAACTGCTTTCTCTTCAGACAGCGTTGCTTACTAATATGAAGTCTCTTTTAGACCTGACATATTTTTCATTTTTTTATTTCTTGTTAGGTATTGCCTCTTTAATTCTAGAAGGTTCGTTATTTCATAATGAACATGCATGGTTTATCCTACTCTGGTTTGGTTTGAACACTGGTAGAAAAATATTCTGGCAGCTTCTATAAACCTACAATGCTTTCTGACTGTCTCTTAGCAAGAATCAGTTGGTAAACACTTGTGAAGTACCTCCTGTCAACATAACTGAAATGCCGGAATAGCCATTCTAAAAAGAACCCCTTGGATGGGTCTTCTTTCTTTTCCTTGGTTTCATGAAGCTCTGTTTAGGCTCTCACTTAGCAAGGAATGATTTTTCTTGGCCATTGAAAAGGAAAGTATAAGTATCTGTTTCCTTTAAACTCCAAACAAACATTTGGTTTAATAATTCCTCATTTTCTTCTGTACTTGTCGGGGGAAATCGAGACATTATTTAATGAAACTTAGGCTAGTACTCCCAAATTATGGTTCCTTTCATCACTACCCTATTCAGACCCTCACAAACTCTTGCTGGCACTGCTGAACTAGCAAATTTGACTGTTGTTTTCCCTGTCTCTATCTCTGTCCCATGTTCCCTGCACTGTTGCTAGAATGTCTAATCTAATGCCTCTTCCTGGCTCAGAAACTTTAATCACTGATAGTTGCCTAGAGAATACAAAGTTACAAGTCATTTAAGGCCACCCAAAATCTGGCCCCAACATACTTTTATCACTTTCCTCCATTGCATACCCTACTTTTAATCCAAACATGGCTTATTGACATTTATCTTGTTTGTTATTACATCAGAGTTTTGCATCTCATCAGCAGTTATCTCTTGAATCTTATTTACCAAGACCCAGCCAACTTTTCCATGAGGTTTTCTCTGGCATCCATAGAGCTTTGTGCATTCCTATAGTACTTAGAAAGCTATTATCTTATAATTTGGTAAATTTTTTACGTGTCTTCTGGGGATTGAGTCTTATGTATCTAATTGTCTTTGAAATTCAGTTCTTAAACATGCAATTTTCTTTTATTTTCAGTGTCTGCCAAGATGGAATTCTTCTTTGCCAACTCCCATTGATTTAACCCTGCGTAAGTGCAAGCTTAAAGCTTAAAGTATCTATTGTGGCTAAAATAGATCAATAGACCCCTTGTTATAATGACTTCCTTTATCTTGCAGAGAATTGTTCTGGAGGGGCGGAGTATGTAGATTGCAAGGATCCCAAGGCACAGAGAAGAACTGACAAAACATGTAGCACTAGGAACATACCTGCTTTTGATGTAAGTAATGTGGCTCCAGAAGGTTGCCTTTTCAAACTTATTTTTTTCAGGGTAGAAGCAAATTAAAGTTTTTAAGAAAAATAATGAGAAAGTCCAGTTATTTGTCAAATGTTGAGCCCAACTGTAGACTTGCGATATGTGTGTATTTAGCATGATGCTGATAACATGTCTTATGGTGTATATTTTATCTTTATTCTTATAGGGCGACTTGCCTTGCAAACGTGGGTGCTACTGTCCAGTAGGAATGGTTCGAAATTCAAAAGGAAGCTGTGTCTTTCCTGATGACTGCCCATGCTCTTTTGGTGAACGAGAATATGACCAAGGAAGTGTCACTTCGGTTGGCTGTAATGAATGGTGCATAATGAAAGATTATTATTTCATTGGTTTTTTTAATGTACAGTTTGCTCTTCTTTTCCATGAGAAAGAGGAAAATAAATCCTTGGACTGTTCGAAAAAAATAATAGCCATATGTAGTTAGCAGAAGATGCTAATTTTTAAAAATAGAAACTTTCTGTAGCATTATGTGTGGTGAACATCAGATAATATATTGAGGACACTGTAAAATTTAGGTAAAAAAGAAACATGTTTCTTTACAAAAACAATATGAATATACAAATTTGAGTTTAAGAATTACCACACTCTCATTTTTTTTCCTTTTAGTACTTGTGTGAAGGGATCTTGGAACTGCACACAAAATGAATGCCAAACAACCTGCCACATCTATGGGGAAGGACATATTAGAACCTTTGATGGAGAAAGTTACAGCTTTGATGGTCTCTGCCAGTATACATTTCTTGAGGTAATTACTAGTTTGTTTTGTAACAATTTTCTATACTTTTTTAAAAGCAGTACTGGAATTTGAACTCAGGGCGTTGCACTTGGTAGGCAGGTACTCTACCACTTGAGCCACACTTCCAGCCCTTTTTGCTGTAGCTGTTTTTCAGGTAGGGTCTCTCGTTTTTGTCTAGGGTCAGCCTCATACTGTGATCTTCCTACCAGTGGCCTCCCACATGGCTGGGACCACAAGGTGTATACCACCATGTCTGGCTTATTAACTGAGATGGGATTTCACTAACGTTTTGCCCAGGCTGGCCTCAAACTAAAATCCTCATGATTTCTGCCTTCATTATAGAAATGAGCCACCATGTTCAATAATACTTCTTAATTATTATTCATTTGTAGTTGACTTCTGGGAATTTTATTATCAAATGGGAATTTTTTAAAAGTCCTCTTACTGCTTCCATTAGTAAAATGTTGTACAATGTAATGCTAACTCTGGAGGCTCAGCTAAGATTTCAATCCTGGCTCTTCCATTTATCAGATGTGTGACTTTGGGCATATTCCTTAAGCTTGCAGCATCTAAGGTTTCATATCTGTAAAATGGGCATGGAAACAGCCTACTTGAAATCAAGCAAAAACATACGCACACTGGGGCACACACTAAAGTAAGCTGTGTGTCTTTGCCAAGATAACTTGTATGTCTTATTGCATTTAATCATTACAATATTATAAGACTATTATTCTTCCTATAATGCAGAGGACAAGATGAAAGCTTAAAGAGGTTAAGTCACTTAAGGTACTAAGTACTAAGATTCAAACACTGAAATCTATGATTCCAGAGTTTGTGCAATTAAGCAACTTCCTAAGTAACAGAGAGTGGGTAGAGTTTGGATTGTTTTGCATTTATGCATTTTTTAATTAAACATCAAGTTTTATATAAATCATCGAGGAAAAAGAACTACCTCTTTTACAGAATCTAGAATAAGTCAATGATTGCAAACATATGATATGTGATTTAAAAACTTATATATCTGTGGTATAATTGTGAACTTGTGTGGAAGTAACAGAAAGAGGGCAGAATGAAAGTAAGTTAACTAGATTGGACTTGGCCAAGGCTATGTAGTCATAAATGCACTTCAACCATTGTTTTGTGGAGATTCTGTAACATAGTATATGATTTATTGAGTTAAAGGCATTGTGTTCTAAGAAATATTTGACACAGATATTACAGTTGAGTTTTATGTCCCCGATAGTCATTAAATATTAATTTAATTATTATTTATATGTATAAACAATTATAATCTCATTTTTAAAGGATTATTGTGGTCAAGAAAATGGTACATTCCGTATTTTAACTGAGAGTGTTCCGTGCTGTGAAGATGGGCTTACATGTTCAAGAAAAATTATAGTTGCCTTTCAGGTACAGTACTATTTCTCTTTATTTACTTCTTCTCTCACATTATAAGCAACAAAATGAAACTGTTATTTTAAGCCTATCTTTTAATTTACAGGATCAGAACATTATCTTACAAGATGGTAAAATAACAGCAGTCAAAACCACAGAAAGTAAGGAATGTGAGCTCAGTGAAAACACATACTCCGTACATACTGTTGGCTTGTACCTGATTTTGAAACTTCTGAATGGAATAGACCTGATTTGGGATAAGTATACAAAAATGTCTGTGATACTGGATCCACTCTGGCAGGTATATGCATCACTAGCAAGTGGTTTAATTCCTGTTACTGAAACTCAGAGACAGGTATTCATGGGAGAGTGGGGTCAGTGTGGGTCCTCTGTTACAGTAGTAAGCTCTCTAGATATTTGCTTACTTGAGATTATCAACTGATATGATTTTGAGGTACTTATAGATTTTGAATTAAATGTATTACTTGCAGCGAATATTCTAAGAACTGAAGTGTATATGCATGTATAAAATTTGAAACTCACAAATGAACTTATTTTTTCATCCTTAAAGTGTTTATTCTACTTGATAGTAGACCATTTTGTGATATGAGATAACTTATACTAAATGGGAGAATTTTATTCACAAATTCAAATTTTTCCCTAAATTTGGGATTTTGCATAGGTTCATAATACAGTTTATATAATTGTCATATCCATCTATCATCACCATCTAACTACTATCTACCTACCTACCTACCTACCTACCTCTCTATGTCCCTAGTATGACTTATTTAAAAATTTTCCCTTCTGATCAACTTAGGGCAAAGTGTGTGGTCTTTGTGGAAATAACAATGGTGATGTCAAGGATGATTTTACAACAAGATACTCATCAGTAGCTGCCGGAGCACTGGAATTTGGAAATAGTTGGAAAACAAGTCAGGAGTGCTCAGACACAGTAACTCAAAGTTTCCCATGTGACTCAAACCCATACTGCAAAGCCTGGGCTGTGAGGAAGTGTGAGATCCTCAGAGACAGCACCTTCAGGGACTGCCACAGCAAGGTAGCACCGCTCTGCTCTGAACTACCTGCTTGCGCTGGAGGTCGAGGGGACTTCTCCCAGAGACTCATGTGCTGTGCTCTGCCCAGGTTGACCCCACCGCTTACTATGATGCTTGCGTTGAGGAAGCCTGTGCGTGTGATGTGGAGGGCAAATACCTTGGCTTCTGCACTGCTGTCGCCATGTACGCAGAGGCGTGTAATGCGGTTGGAGTCTGTGTCTCCTGGAGAAAGCCAAACCTCTGTCGTAAGTAAAGTCCACATGTTCTCTGAAGATGTCATTGGACAGAACTATTTTGATAAACTGATCTCGCATTTGCGCAAAACATATGTTCTTAAACATAGAAAGGGTTATAAAAGCACCTTAATATGTTTATGATGAGGAAATACCTAACTTTAAAAATGTAGCAAGTTAAATTCAATTTTAGTGTCAAAAATTCTTATATTCACAGAGGAAAAATATTGAGCACTGACAGAAAATATCTCCTGTTCATATTTGGATAACAATGAACTGTTTACTTGTCTTGGTATATTTGTGTATCCTTAAACATTTATAATATATATTACTTTTGGTTGAAAACCTCACACATTTTGTTCCCTTGAAAACTTTTGAGAATACTATTGAAGGTGAGCTAAAATTGTGTATAAAATGAATCTTGATGTATATGGAACATGATAACCTTAATAGAAGTCAGCTGACCTTTTTCTTCTAAGCAAAGCAATATGAAGTGAGAGAGAATATGAAGTGAGAGAAGTGTTGAAATAGAATCTCATTTTATTCAGTTAAAAATGATTGGCATTATATATCAACATCTTTAATTACTTTATTTGAGAACTGTTACATGTTTTTAAAAACTATCACATATTAAAGCTATTATATCACATATAACATATTATATAAAAAGTATATATTTTAAAAGCTTAATTTTCTCACTTTTTTATAAATTAAGCTTGAATATTAAAACCATGAATTTAGACTATGACCTAAAGTACCTTCAAATGGGAAAAATGATTGTTTTTCTACCTCAAATTACCCTTGATGTGAGATATCAAAGGAAAGAGATAATTTGAGACTGTAAGTTCCCCCTTTTCAGTGAGCTACCTTGGCTTATTTGGTAATTTAGAAAAGCCAGAGAAACTCGATAAAATAGAATGATCTATTTTAGGACGGTGTATTATTAATACCATCTAAGATCCCTTTTTACAGTGCTTTGGAGAATAAAGAATGAAAGTAATTTGGCATAATTCAATTATAGCTGTCTACTGTGATTATTATAATGCACCTGGGGAGTGCAGCTGGCATTATGAACCGTGTGGTACAGTGACGGCAAAAACATGCAAAGATCAGGTCATTGGCCAGAAGTTTTCTGCACTTTTAGAAGGTAAGACATATTTTGTGACCATCCAACAAGAGAGTGAAAATGATACTGGCATTTTAAAACTGGAAAAGTTGTTAGTTTCTCTGAACTCAGTATCTTGCATTTAATGTATCATTCTTTTTCTCTGTTATGTCTGTACATTAAAAAAATTTCTCTAGACACAAGTGACTTAATAGGGGGTGGGGACGGGAAACAGAAGGGACAGACGACAGTGCTACCATCCCACAGCCAATCTATGTACTCATCATTACACAATGTAGTTTGATGAGAATTCAGCTTCAGATTGCAACTTAAAATAGTCTTGCTCAATAGTGGTCAATTAGCTGTCTCTTACTTAAACAGCGTTTTATTCTGAGCATAATAAATCCTGGGGAGAAAGAAGTGGCAAGAAAACAAGATGACACAAAAACATTTCTGAAACCACATCTGTATCAAATCTTAGCCTTTGAGATATTTTCAGCCCATTTTATTGTGACTTCTGCATCTTTTTCTATTCTTGCAAAAGTACGTTTGGAATTTACATTTCAAGCTACGTACTTACCAAAGTCTTTTAAGTTCAACATTATGCATCATTAAAGAAGCAAATTATTTAAAAAACAACCAACATGTGTAAGCTCTTAGGTTGATATCTTAGTATTTTGTATATTTTAATATTTTGTATATTTTCATTGTGTGTGCTGTTTTGCTATCACTCACTTTAGTTCATGAATCATTCAAGTAACTTTACAAATGCATAATGCAGAATGATAATTTCAGTAATAGAGAAGAATTGAGGGTTGTTTTTCTTTGCAGGTTGCTATGCCAAATGCCCAGAAAGTGCGCCCTATCTGGACGAGAACACCATGAAATGTGTCCAGCTATCTGAGTGCAGCTGTTTCTATAACAATATTATACCAGCAGGGGGTGTTGTCCAAGATGACTGTGGAAGAACATGGTACAGCTACTACTCATTTTCCAATATGCAGTTATTGAAAAAAAATTCTTCTTTTGGGATTTTTGTTTTGGAAGGCAAGGAAGCAAACAAGTGTGTGTGTATGTAAATTTTAATTCTGTCGTTTCTAGAATGGGAAAACTATAAATTCAGTTTTATACATTAGGTCAGTTATTTGTATTTTCAGAAAATTCACAGATCAACTAATGGTCTATTAAGTCTGATGCTTAACAATGCAAATGACAGGAAAGAAAACATTACTATAATTTTAGGGATGAAATTGTAATTCTGTAAATGTAAGAGGCTTTCAATAAAGGAAACACATAGATGAGGTCATACTAGGACAGCACGCCATCAAATAACCTTGTGCTGAACTGGATAAAGTAAGAACTAACCTCCCAGCTTGATTGCAAACCATTCCTTTAGGTCTAAGAACTCCTCAGTGAATTGATTAGGAACAATGCATGAAAAAACAATTTGAAACAACCCTGTGATCTTAGAGGGACAATTATTTACTCTTTGTTCTGTTTGATTTTCACTGCTAGACAATTTGTTGTCTTAAATTTATGAGATATATGTCAGTAGGAGTGAAAATTTCAAACTCATTCTTTTCCTTTTTCAATGTAACTTTCAGCTATTGTATTGCCGGGGAGTTGGAGTGCAGTGGTAAGTCATTACATTTTACTGTAGTTGATTTAGGAAGGCTGAGGTTAAGGATTTGGGATCTTTTTAGACCATCAACAAGAGAGGAGCAAGTACTTAACGCTTCTGACTGCCTTTCAGGGGTTGGCAGATGGATTACTCGTGGTGTGTGACCCTTCAAAACCAGTGATTGAGGGCGTTTGATTAACTGTCAGATAGGCAATGAGTTCAGACAGACATGAGGGGTTCTCCTACTGCATGTGGGCCCTGCCTTCTGTAGGTTCTGGGAATTAAGGAGGTGAGACAGCTGTCAAAATAGTATAATGAAGTATGTGAGATGGTGGGGAACAATATAGAAATGATTAAATAATTAGGGAATCTTCATGAACAAAGCATATTTTTAAAATAAATCTTAATAAGCTTCAAAAGTATACAGGAGCTCCTCCTTATTAAAAATTCTAAGACATAAAGTAAAAAAGACTCAAAAGAGTTATAGACAACTTGAAATGTAATTTTTCTTTTCATGATTTTTCGACCTGCTAATAATGTTAATTTATGATTATTTCAGAAACTCCTCCTACAAATTCAACAATTACAGGTAAAATGTAATTCTGTTTTAAATGTGTATTTCATAGATAATTCTTTAAAGTTTCTCATAAATCTGTGCCAGTAAAAAATATGCTAGGAAATCTACTGAAATAAGAAATTTAATCTAAATTTAGTTGCTAGAAATATCATATTATTTCATTCTATTCTTTTGAATTAGTCAGGAAAATAATTAGAATATACAATAAGTATCTTGTGTTAGTTAAGCATCGTCATGGAAAGCTTGACATTTTTAGATAATAATTAAATAAGTGGTAAAATAGAAATAAATGCAGTCACTTGTGAAGTAAATAGTTTCTGTTTTATTATTGTTGTGCTGGAGGCACATTGTGGTATTTACAAAAGCTCTTACAATATATCATAGTTGAATTCACCCCCTCAGTCATTCTCCTTTATCCCCCTCCAGAAGTAAATATTTTGAAATTATGATCAGACTGAGGGATGTTTTGAAAAGACAGATATAAAACATCAATAATGCCTTTTTCTTAACTCATATATTTGCATTAAGCCATAGGGACATTTCAATCTGTCCATTCCAGGGAATTCTGGGCAAAATGTAGTTTAACTTTAGTTTTGGGATTTTGAGCCTTCTGGCAGTTAATACATTTATGTATTCCTGCCTTGTGTGATTAAAGGGGGGATTTTACTTCTTAAGATTAGAAGCCTTAGGTTCTGATAATAGATTTAAAGTTAGATGACCTTTGATAAAATGATATTTAAATTTTGGTTAGTATCGATCACTTACCAGAAGCTAAGTTATCACATTAAGTCCCTGAACTGTATTTCTTGGACCCTAAATAGACTTTATATAAAGTTCCTGTGACAGTTCTCTCAAAGAATAATAATAGCAAGAAATAATTATTTTTGTTGAACCTACAGTAAATTGTGTTATCTTATTGATTTAAATGAAACATTAATTTGTCATTTAACCTTTACATACAGTTTCAGAAATTTTAATTTTGGTTTACAGCTGCTAGTTTCAGATGAATTCAATTATGACATATTTGACATATTGTAAGAACTTTTGTAAATGCCACGATGTACCCTCACCCAGCACAATGATAAAAAATAACAGACCCCTCCCCAAACTGGTTTTTCTCTTTTCTTATTTTATTTTATTTTTTGGCAATGCTGGAGTTGGACTCAGGGCCTCAGGCTTGGTAGGCAAGCTCTGTACCACATGAGCCATACCCCAGTGCTTTTTGTTTTAGTTTATTTTTTACAAAGGGTTTCATGCTTTTTGCCTGGGCTGGCCTTGGACTGAGATCCTCCTACTTCTGCCTTGCACCTAGTTGGGATTATAAGCATGTACCACCACACCTGTTTTTTTTTTTTTTGAGATAGGCTCTCACTGATTTTTGCCCAGGTTGGCTTTGATGTGCGATCCACCCATTTCTGCCTCTTACATAGGTGGCATTGCAGGTGTGTGCCTCCCTGATTAGCCCAACAACTGGTTTCTTGAACTAAGTTTCCTGGTAAAAGTTATTCAACTAATCTGTTTTCCTAAATATTGTCTTCCCTAAACAGTTTCTTCTACAGCAGCTACTTCTGTATTAAGCACCTCTGCAGGTAAATTTATATTAAAAAAGATAGTTATTTTTAGCTCCTAAATCAACAGCAAAGTGGATTTTGATTCAGGCATTTTGGGTCTTTTTGAGAACTTGTCAGTCTCCATTTATTCATTTCCTAAATGCTCATTGCAAGCAGTGGGGTCCACATCCAGGTGTGATACTGGAGGTTACCTCTCCTAAAAAGAGCATTCTGCATACTAGTAATTAGGAGAAGGTGGCTAGGCCTGAGAATTCTGTGGGTTTTTTTTGGGGGGGGGGACAGGGGCTCTTCATATAGCTCAGAACTTGTGATCCTCCTGCCTCAACCTCCCAAGTGCTGGGATTTACAGGGTGTGTCGTCATGCCCAGTTCTATGTTAAATGTTTTAAAACAACTTGCAAGTTCTATTTTACTAACACCAAGGACTCTTCACTTTGATTAGATGGTTTATAAATTTGTGATCAAAGTAGTAGCAAGCAGAGTACAAAGGTGGATTGAAATGTGTAAAGGTCCAATAAATGAGCACAGCCATTTATTTATTTAACCATTTATTTGCATTCTGGAGATTTCTAAACATGTCTAGATTAATATGTTTTAACCTTGTCTTTTAATACCATTTAACCTACATTTACAAATATTTTTGTCCTCTTTGATAGGAATTACACTGGTTACCAGTAGCTCAAGCATAGGTAAGTTATCAGCTCCAACCAGGACCCAATCAACATGTGAGTTTAAAAAATACCCAGAAGCTTTTTTTGCATTATTATGCCATTTTAATAGGAAGTAGACAAATTTTCGTTCTTCTCTAAAATAATGTTTTGGAGAAAGCTTTGGGGGAATATTATAAAAAATTATTTAGTTTTCTTCTTACTTATGGTTTGTAAACTTTAATACCGTAAGTTTACATTGCGATTTCTCTTCACCTCTGTGATCAAATTTCTCTGAAACACCAATTTTCAACCGATCTATTTTATATATGACCAAAGATGTTCTTGGAAGCATAATTTTCCCTTCCTACAAATTTTTTCCATTGTTTTCTCAAATTCAGCAGTATCCCTCCAAGGAATTACAATATCGAGCAGTGAAACAATAGGTAGGTATATCCGAAACTTTATAAATGACCGATAACATTTAAAAATTATTTCACAAAAATTTCAAATACAAATCTAGAACAATTTAACATATTAGAATGAACATCAGTTTGATTACATTTTTGAGATACTAAGGTCTGAATTTTCCATTTTAGCATTTCAACAATTTTCCTAATTTAGTTTGTTATTCTGTCATCCTACCTACACTTTAAGATTCATTGATAGGCTTCAGTGCCTTTAATGTGAATGAAAATAGGAAAAAAAGAAAAATGGCCAATCAATAATTTAGCACTGTGGTTCTACATCTTATTTCGTGATTATGCCCCTGTTTTATTTCACATTGAAAAACTGTCAATATATATCCATTAT